GAACCCTGCAATGGAAGGGAGAAAGGGGAAGAAGGGTTACATGTGGGCAATTTCAGCTGGTCTCAACGCTGCGTTCGCCGCCATTGCCGCCAAGCTTTTCTCCTCTACGGTAATCTTTCTCCATTTCTTTCCTGTACGAACCGTTTCACGATTATGCGATGATTTGCCCTAATTTGTATGAACCAACACAATCACAAGCTGCTTTTGTCAATTGTCTGAAGTTTTTCATCATTCTCGTTCTAATCATATTGCAATCGCCTCTGCACATATACTATCGACGTTGCAAATTGGCAGTCTACTGGATTTTGGTTAGTATTCATAGCTTTTGTTAGTGTAAATTAGCAATCTGATTATATGTGAGATTTCAAGTCGGTTGGACAGAGAAACGAAACATTTCTTACAAGGGTATGAAAATTTCTTCCCAACAAACACGTTTTACAACCGTGAAGCTGATGCCGATATGTAACGGACCAAAGTGGACAATATCTGCTAGTGGTAGGCTTGGGCTGTTACAATTTGTACCGCTGGATAGTGTGCCAGTGAGGATGCTGGGCCAACAAGGGGTGGATTGTGAGATCGTATATTGGTTACAAAGGGGAATGAAACATTCCTGATAAGGGTGTGGAAACCTCTCCCTTGCAGACACGTTTTAAAACCAAATAACGGGCCAAAGTGCGGTGGACTTGGGCTCTTACGGTATATCTCCCTAAACTTAGAATATGACTATAAGATCCATTGGAATTTGTTGGGTTTGGCGTATTGTGTTTAACCTCTTACAATGCAAAGAGAAGAGTATAGGTAGTTTAAGGAAGAAGGATTCAGTGGATGTGGGGTTGTGAGGTCCCACGTCGGTTGGAGAGGGGAACGAAACATTCTTACAAGAGCGTGGAAACCTCTCTTTGGTAGACGCGTTTTAAAACTTTGAGGGGAAGTCCTTGAAGGGAAAGCCAAAAAAAGATAATATCTGCTAGCGATGGATTAGATCTATTACTGGAGTGGAGACTTTGTCAAACGAGTTTGTCAAACGAGTTATGGCACACTTGGTGCATCTCCAAACTTAGGTGTCATATGTAGGTCTTTCTTCAATTATGTTTGTAATGAGGAGAAAGGCTTCGTTCTGGAAGGACAAATTCATAGGTAGTTTACTCTTTGCAGCTTGGTTCCTACCGTTCTTCTTGGTTCGAAGTCAGATAATTCATCGATCTTGGATCTCCTTGGGAGTGAGTTGCGTTGGCTGCACCCTCCTTGGGTGGCTTAGCGTTCTCACTGGCACACCGTCCGGTGTTTGACTCTATTACCATTTGTACTAGCTTCAAGCCTACCGCTAGCAGATATTGACCGTTTTGGCCTGCTACGTATCACCATCAACCTCACGATTTTAAAACGCATCTGTTAGGAGGAGGTTTCCACACCCTTATAAAGAAAGCTTCATTCCCCTCTCCAACCAAGGTGGAACTCACAGTTTTGTTCGAACTTTTCAATAAATCAATGGGAAGTTCTTTCATTTCAAAAAAGCATCTATCAATAAGCTGCCATAAGTTGGAAACCGACATACCCAGTATCCCTCTTACCTTGGTTTTGATGTTAGCATTTCTTTTTTTCTGAACAGTTAATTAGGTATGGACTGGTTATTGCGTTCAACTTGGCAATGTGGGGATGTTATGTCAACAGCTTAAAAGCTCTCTCGTCATTACAAGCTACAGGGACCAACTTTTCAGCTAACTTTCTTTGTTCTGGTCTAGCCGGTTTCTTTTTGTTCGAAGAACCACTATCATTTCAGGTAAATCCTTCATCATATCCATAGCTTCTGCCCAAGTTCTTATGCACAATACACTTTTGACTTCTTTTAGTAAAAATATTGGTTCGATTTTACATACTAGACAATGATCGGTCGTTATAACTGTTTTTTCCTCCATGTTCATATGTAAATCGTTCCCCGTGAGCTAACTCAGATTTGTAACAGCTCAAGCCCACCACTAGTAGATAATGTCCTCTTTTGATTTTCCATTATGAGCTTCCTCTCAAGGTTTTAAAACGCATTTACTCGAGAGAGGTTTTCATACCCTATAAGAAATGCTTTGTTTCCCTCTCCAACTAACGTGGGATCTCACAATACCACCCCCATTGGGAGCCCAGTGTCACAATCGCACTTTTGATGGCAGCGGACTTGCAATTGTGCAGCACTCACTTTCCAACGACAAGTGAGCTAAGCCAATTCGTTCTTGCGTCGCCTACGACTAAGCGACGTATGCTCGAGCCTCTTACCTTTATTTTAAGAGAAAATTTTAGAAAACGAGGGCAGAGAGAGATTTTCAAAAGAGACGTTATATAAGCAAACAAGAGAGAAATAACAACAACTCACAGTATATAACCTTGGGTAGAGAGAAGTTGACAACTAGTCGTATCCCCACATTCTGAGACATTTCATGTCTGACAGACCAATACATGATATTTCTAAAACGTCATACTTTCTAGAAATACAAAAGCAAAACATTAGAATATGAAAAAGACATAAATGGTTGGGCTTGCAACACGCCTTGGACGAGCATGACCGTGACACCCAGCGTCCTCACTGACATACCGCCCGATATCTAGCTCTGATACCATTTGTAACAGCTCAAATTGAAAAAAGACAATATTTATTGAAAAAAGACAATATTTGTTAGCGGTGGGTTTGGACTGTTACAGACCAGTCGTATTTCCATAACATTTAATCTCGGTTTTTCTGGTGTCTCCTCTGTACACTCTGCAACGGGCTCTGTCCCTTCCCAGCAGATTAGAAACTTCTTCTGTTATCTTATTTAAGTTGTGATGTTGGCTGCAACACTTTTTTTTATTACTGCGCTGTTGATCATTACCATTTTGTTATACTTGACTCGGCAACATTATCAGTCATTTGCCAATAAATGTAGAATTCACCAATGACAGTGAAGAATACTTGCTAACAAACAGTACTTTGGAGTCATCCAGCTCATTTTAATTTGATACTTTCCTGCTAATGTAAAGTTGCAGTAGCTCGCTTATAAACACATTTTTAAGCACTTAGAAAGTCGTTACAAACAGACCCTTAGCTATTAACACGTTCAAACGTGCATCTCTTAATGCCAATGTACTGTTTTCCAGTGGTTTGTAGGTGCCATATTGATCGTAATGGGCGTGCTGATTTTGAATCAGTCGAGCATTGAGAAGAAGGAATCAAAGGACTGACCTCTGCTCTATTTTCATTGAATCTCTTGTTTCCAAATTTGTGTTTACATATTTCTTACCATGCTTTCGTTTTTCTTCCTACTGTTCAAACATCGACCATGTAAGATTTGAATTTTCCAGCTCCAAAAAAAAAAAAATTAATGCTTCGATCGGGGTCGAGATTGAAAATATGTGGGGCTTGCATTACTTCAAGAAGATCTGCCTAGACGTAGAGTTCCCGCTCCTGATCACAAAGGGAACTGTGAGCAGGTTTGAAAAGTGAGGGCTACGTCCTCGCCTCGGACTAATAGTCATTCTCCTAAAAGAAAAAAACTCAACCATTAAAATCTCTACTACTTATTTGATTTCAACCAAGTTAATAATACATTAACATTTAAAACTAAAATCTCAAATTAGGATCTAATTTAGAAATTATTTTTGAAAAAAAAAACTCTTTTTAAATTAACCAATTAATTAATTTTTTAAATTATCAGTTCGATAAATTAAAAAAAAAAGTATTTTTAGGAAAATAATTTAGGTAACTTTCTTCCAATCGTACATATAATAAAAATGTTTTCTACATTTTCATAAAACATGGTCTCGCAATTGCCAAAAATGAACAAAACACAAAAGACGACATGTCGTCGTAACATGTTTGATGACCCATGTAGAGGCGGGGGAAAGTTGAAAATTCCATTTGAAACGCCGCCCTTTTCCCGGTCCAATGGCGGCAAGATCCTGACACCTCCTTTCCCCATTTTCAACGGCTCGGATTAACCCGCCCCCCTTAAAATAAATATTATAAAAAGAGGAAGGAAAAAAATTGCCCCGTGGCAAATTATGGTTGGCTGCAAAAAAATAGCGTATTTGTATGACTAAATTACAAATTAGGTGTTCAATAGATTATTAATTTTTAATTTTGTGTCTGTTACAAGTAAATTTATATTTAATATGCATTTAAATACTAAACATTTCGAGTAATTGACTTTAGAAAATAAAATGAAATAATCAATCAATTTCTTATAAAATTAGGGAGCGAATTAGAAGATTTAAATAAAAATATTTAACCCAAAATAATGGAGAAAATTTGAAAAGGACATAAAGTTAAAGAAAGAGAGAGAGAACGGAGAGCGAGATTCCTTTGCCCCGCTGCTCTGCACTCGACTGTTGTTTCCACAGGTTTTCAATCCTTTTTCGCCGTCGTCGTCTCTTTGCTTCGTCTATCTCCGGCTTTATTCTCACCGGCAAGCTTCCATTTCTCTCTGCTCTTTGATTTCTTATATGTTTATCCATTTTCAAACTCACTTTCTATTTTCTTTCCTTATTTCCTTTTGAATCGTATATAGATACTTCTTTTACTTCTTCATTCTTGTTGTGGCTTCTCCGTTCTCTTTATTCATTCCATTCTCTGTGGAGTCTGCTTCGATTTTGCTCTGTTTCGGTCATTTGCTGTCGAGATGAAGGTTGGCGTATGAATTTGGGGATTTTTGTTTTTTAGGGTTTCGTCTGCTTCTGGTTGTTAGTATTCCTTCTAGCTGAGGAATTTGTTGTGCGTATTCTTTATCTTTTAGAGTTGCTTTAAGCTCAGTACTTGAAGTAAAACAGCTGACTCCCGCTTACTTTCCTGGTTATAGTAAAGAATCGGATCTTTATGGTTTTTGCTTTCTTCCTACTCTTTAGCCTTTTTTGCCTTATTTTCCAGCTGATTTGAGCTCATTGAACCCGTTGAATTCGATGAAAATGCTTTTTGCAGCCACTTTGACTCGTTTTTGTAGTATCAATTGAGTTCTGAAACATTGAATTGCATTGTCCAGATGATCTGGAGGACGAGATGAGGAAGCTGACTGGGGATCAAAACTTCTAACGTTGATTTCATTTCCTAAGTGAATTCTTGTTTGGCTTCTGATTACAGGTGAAGTATCATCTACTACTCTGAACTATCGTTAGTCTTCTGTTCATCTTCTTTTTGCTTAAACTGTGAATGAATTGCTCGTGCTGCTCATATCTATTGCTTCAATTTCACTCCAGAAGTTTAGGAGGCGTTTTTGAATCTTCCCCTTTGTGTATCTTGCCAAGTTCCATTTTTAGGAAATATCTGCTTGTGTTCATATTTTTTCAAGTAAAATGGGAACGTAATAGGAATCTTAAAGCTGAATCAATGCACTTCTTTTGAGATTCAACAATATGGGGATTTGGCTAAGTGGAAGATCTTTGTTACTGTTTATGTGTTGGTTTACTAGTTTGGAGTCAGAAATGGACGATGGTGGACATCGAGAGAATGGAAGGCACAAAACAGATCACTATAAGTCAGCTCAGGGCCAGGTATCAAGATTTGGATGAATAAAAGGTTAATGGATGACTAAAAGTCTTTCAAGTTTGATGAATTTGGTTTGAATTTGTGTTGGCAGTGGATGATGCAGCATCAGCCATCAATGAAGCAGATAATGACGATTATGGCTGAAAGAGATGCAGCCATTCAAGAGAGGAATTTAGCCCTTTCAGAGAAAAAGGCAGCATTAGCAGAGCGAGACATGGCTTTTCTACAGCGAGATGCTGCAATTGCAGAGAGGAACAACGCCCTATTGGAAAGAGACAATGCCATTGCAACCCTTCAGTATCGTGATAACTCCCTACCAAATAACAGTTTATCATGTCCACCAGGATGCCAAATCGCTAGAGGAGTGAAGCATATACATCACCCACAGCAGCACACAGTTCATATCCCCCATATGAATGAAAGTAATTACAATTCGAGAGAAATGCATCCAAATGAAGCTTCCCCGGTATCCCCAGTTGCTTCTGAATTGACGAAGACACGACGAAAGAAGCGAACACAGGAGGGAAAGACCGTTACAACACCGAACAAGAAGGTTTCAAAAGCTCCAAGGAAGGTCAAAAGAGAGGGTGAAGACTTGAATAAGGTAATGGTGGGCAAGGCTCGTGGAATTGGTAATGATCACAAACAGTCAGATTGGAAAGGCCAAGATCTGGGATTGAATCAGGTAGCCTTTGATGAATCTACCATGCCAGCACCAATATGCTCCTGCACGGGAGTTATAAGACAGTGCTACAAATGGGGAAATGGTGGATGGCAGTCTGCATGTTGTACTACCACCATCTCAATGTATCCATTACCGGCAGTTCCCAATAAACGACATGCACGACTTGGTGGTCGCAAGATGAGCGGAAGCGCCTTTAACAAGTTGCTTAACCGCCTCGCAGCTGAAGGCCACGATCTTTCAGCTCCCGTTGATCTTAAGAATAACTGGGCAAAGCATGGAACAAACCGTTACATCACCATAAAGTAGTGACAAGCTTAATTATGGAGTAGCCACAAAGAGTAGAAAAATGGAGGTAATTGCCAAACTAGTTAGGTGCTACAATCATACTTTTTCAAGCATGGAGAGTCGTGAACTTGACACAGCTACGACCAGCCTTCTGCTGCTCTTCTCAACATGAGAATCATAACCTACTCTCTTTACCGTTACGGTTCAGTTGTGACAGAGTTTATCCCACTTTCAGCATAAGAATAAAGGATAGAATAACATCAAAAAATGTAAGGAGTTAGTAGCTATCTCTGCCTTCAGCCTAAAGTTCTGAGCTTCTCTCGCATTCACCAAGTTTGTTCGAGAGAAAAGACAGTGGCAAGTGCTTCCAAGCCATGGCAACCTTTTTATTTTCCTCTTGTTTCTCGTGGCTTTCTTTTAGTAGTTTTCTGTAAAGCCTTAGCAAGATCCTACTTGCTTGAAATAACTGTAAAGGTATGTATTTAGCATTATGCTCAGGGCTGTCCTTGGATATTATACTATGGCCGTCATGATTTTGTAGTCTACCATCTGGAATCAACCTTTAAATATGTAATTGTTGTTTATGCAGCTTCAAATCCATTAGGATTCAATTAGCCTACAAACTCTTTAGGTTATTGCACAACCAGTAGTTTTTGTGAGGCCAATGATTTAATTGGCAAGGGTCATATGTGTATATATCAATATCACGGGTAATCTCAAGCAATCCATTTCTAATAGCCAAGCATATTGTCATAAAAATCACTAGTTCTTCATTTCATATCTTGAATTTAAACCAACATTCTAATGTATTATGGGTTCTAAGACAATTTTGAAACACTCGAAAGATGTTGAGAACTATTGTGAACCAATCCAAGTGTGTGTCAGACCATGAATCATCAGCACCAAAGCATCAGACAGGGATAACTGATATTTACTGGTTTCATCACCCACATAATTAAAACTAGAATTAAGAACCCAAAATTATTCAAAATTCTCCATAACCCCTGAAAATCATCCACTCCCACATGCAATGAAAAAGACGAAAATTCCACACACAAAAAAAGAAGATTTGATGAAAAACTGATATTAAGCTTCATAGCATATAAACAAAGGCAAAGCAGAAAGGTGATAGCCTCAGACCGTCCTAGTTCAAAAAAGCTTCAACACCAATGCAACATTTTTGCATCTCAGTGAACCAAAAAAAAAACTCATCATCACTGGCCACACCTAAGAGAAAATAGAGAGATCAAGAAAGTAAGAAAAAAAAAACGAAAAAGTCGATGAAAAAATAAAGAAACCATTCAATCCAAAAATCAGTACTGTCAGAGTATAAGAAATATCAGCACTTCGAATCAGCCAGGGATAACTGTAATTTCATGTTATCTCATCATCCAGAAGAAGAAAATGTCACCAGAACCCTCGGAAAACATACTGCGAGTTATAATCCATAAGATTGGAAAACAAAAAAGAATCAAATAGATCGATAGGAAAGAAAACAAGACAAAATTGATAAGGAGAGGCATCAGATCTTCCTATACAAATTGGTTAATCATAATGCTACAAGTTCGTAGACAAGAGCATTCTACCATTCGAAAGTTCGTCATATGGCCTCTTCCAAATCCGAACTCAATGCCAATTGCAGAAATCGTAAGAAAAAAGTTTCGAACTCTGTTCGAGAACGCAGTAATTTGGCCTAAAAGATCTCAACATCGACATGAAAGAGTAAAGAACGAATTGAAAACCAGAGGAACTGCAAGAAAATTTAAGCGGCTTTGGAAGCTGGAAAGACGGCTATGTACTACGGAATTAGGGTTTTTGGATTATGAAGAAGTAGGAACAGATCGCAGGCTTTATAACCGTTCGAGCCAGTAGTTTTAGGCAGAAAATTTGGAATTTGGCTCGAAATTTGGACGGCTGTGATTTGCAGATGAAAATCCTTCGGCATGATCGATCTAGGTGTAAAAACCTTGGCTAGGTGATGGAAGTTGTATCACAGACGAATTATGTTATAACACGTAATCACTCTATATCACATGCATGACTCAACGTTGGAGCTTGCCTTTTTTCCTGGGCCCAATGGATTGGGCTTCTCAATCTATGGGCCTAACTAAGTTCATTAATTTGGGCCTTTTCAATTATTAGCCAGAATCTGTGGTCGCGAGATCAATAGTTCAAATTGGTAATTACTTAAATTTTAAAGGAAAGAAAAAAAAATTCTAAGACAATAAAAATGCATATATATATATATATATATATATATATATATATATATATTTATAGTGATGACAACATTCATGTATATTGTTTGTATTTAAGGAGTATTTTTTAAATTTTAGATAATTATTTTTAAGATTATAAATTACAATTAGTTGGTGGCTGATGGTCGAGAAAGTTACGATCTTTCCATTAATCTTGGATTTAGATTTGCATGCTAGAGTCATTCAAGTAGTATTGATTAGTTATTTAGTTATTTAATGGAATGGGTTGAATCAAAAATTTATTCTCTAATCTATTCTAATTTTTTTTTCTTAAATAATTTAATTTAAATGTCTTATTCTTCATCGAGTTTATTAGATTAAATTCCAAAAGTTTTTCCCCGACACACTATAGGAGTGGGACCACGAGACATGATTTTGCTTAAAAAACGAAAGTTTGAAAAGTTTGGAGTAAGCATCAGTAGCTCTCAAGCTGCAACAACTGACCTTACTTTCAACAGTGTTTCATTAAAAACATCAATCAAACCAAACATGTCACATTTTCAATTATCATTTCCACCAACTTTAGGATTATATTAATCAAAACCTTTCATTTCATTTTCTACCCACCATCTCTCCAACAATCTTCATTTTGCTGATTAAAGTAGAGGGTCAAGATTGAATTTCTAGTTCAATCAAACACCGTAAAAATTAGCACTGAATTCTTATCTAGAAAATATAAACGACAAAATTATTTACGTAACTTCATGTTTAAGTAATGTTACAATTCAATAAACTACCTACTATTTTCATTTAAAGATATTTTTTTTAGATTGTTTTATAAAATTTAAAAATATTATTGAATCTTTTTTATAATAATTAAACTAAGAATTTTGAGGATTTAAAATTATTTATAGTCTTTCATTATAGCAAAATATTATCCAAATGGTCTTAAAAAGATATTGCCATTATTGACTCAAAGCTACATATTTCATTTGCATAGATTTGATTGCATTGATTATTAGGGTTCGATTACTTTGCACTTAGCCTACATCAAAATCTTCATCACTTTATTAACCATATCAAAAGTGGCCCTTCCAATATCTATAAAATAAAAATTATAGCTTTTTAAACGACTCCGAACTTCAAATAAATCATGCAACTCAAGTCTCTCGCTACCAGATATTATCCTCCTCTTCTAACAGTCCAAGCCCATCGCCAGCAAATGTTTCAGTCCACCGCCAGTAGATACTGTCCTCCTCTTTGGACTTTCCCTTACAGGCTTCCCCACCTGCTAGTATATATTGTCCTCCTCTCTCTTTGAATGTTGCAACAGCTCAATCTCGGTGCTAGTAGACACTCCCCTCCTCTTTGGACTTTTCCTTAGCTTCCCCAAAAGGGTTTAAAACACTATCTGTTAAGAAACGTAGGATAGCCTAAGTCCACCACTAGTAGATATTGTCCTATTTAAGAGGGACGAATAAATAAATAAATATAAAATAAGATCCCAAGTTTATCTAAAAAAAAAAAAGGTAAGTGGTCACAATGTGGGAGCAGTTTTCAAATAATGGCCCTTTGAAAAGCACTTTTCTTTTTTTATTTATTACCATTATGAGAATCATTTTTTTTTTCTCTCTTAAAGACATTTATGCTTTTTTTTTTTTTCTTTCTTTTTTTCATGTGAGGTTGCTTGTCATGTGCTTCTTGCACATAAGATCCTCTCATTCATTTTAACTTTCATCTTCGAGACGTACAAAATTTTACTTGTTAACTTTTTGTATCGTTAATTCGCTGTAAATTTACAGATTAATGTAAAATTGTCATACCCACTAAACTATGTTCGTATTAGTCAGTAGAAACGACGAAATTAAGTGAAATTTTATCTGAATTCTTAAAATATCGTGAAGTCAAATCACGGTGTTAATAACTCGACAAGTAAATAGGTATAACACTAATAAAAGGTAGGTGGGGATTTGGTGTTAGTTCATAACTTGAATACGAGGGGAAAGGAATTAATGATTGAGATATGAAACCAAACAATTAAATTAGATTAAATAGGAAGAAGAGTTGACATAAATAGGTACCAATAATTCTATGACTTATGATCCAACTTTGGCTTTAATATGTTGGTTTGGTGGGTGAGGTGATTCATTGATTTATTGCTTTTCGTGGTTTGTAATGAGAGTGTCGTTCATTATATCGTCAATTTTGAACGATAATTCTAGAAAGAATTAGGGTTTGAGAATCGTTCAAACCATGATCTAATTTTGGTGCCCGAGTAAAAAAAAAGCACATGAATAGACCAATACTACATCTGGATGAGAGTGATCTTAAATGTACGACAGTAAGAAAGACTTAAAAGAATTAAAAATTACTACCTATATTAGTAAGGTGTACGCTCATCTATGAAACGTGTAAGTGAGAATAAAATAAGCTAAAATGACTCATGTTAGTTTATGAAGACAGTCTTCACTTTTAGTAGTTTGAGATTAGGTATGTAATATAATCATGTGGCACGGGATGCAGGAATTGTCTAACTTAGATTCTAAATGTTAGGCATCGAGCGTTATACTAACTAATCGAGGTTCAGTGTAATGAATTATTTTCATAAATCTCTTTTGATGAGCATATTTCTTTTAAGATATGCTTTAGAGAATATGGGAACTTAGGAAAAAAGCATATTATTATTAGTTTGACAGAATATATTATCTGTTATAACAAAATCATGTTATGAGACGACTTTAGAGCATAAATTATGTACCTTAATTAAAATCTCTATATATATATATATATATATATATGGGATCCACGTGGCAGATTCTTAGTGTAACAACCCATTCCTAATCCCACTCGTATATGACTATTATAATTTTTTAAAAAAGAAAATAATAATAATTATTACCATTATAATTATTTTTGTCTTTTAACTTTTATAGAAAAATAGTATTATCTGGACCGACTAGCAAAAAGACAAAAGTAGCCCGCTAGTTTGGGTAGATGTGCCAACTCATGCCAGGTCCACGTGGCGGTTGGAGACAAAAGAGCTACCAGTGCAGGCCGCAGGGTGGTTACTATTATTATTTTTTTTACCTCTCTCTCTCCTGAGACACGTGGGATGCCTTTTTTTTTTTTATCATTATTTTTTTTAACATTTACCATTTTTAAATAGATTAAAATATCATTTTTGTATGTATTATTTAATCAATTTTAATAAAAATATAAAATATGAGATATGCTAAAATTACCCACTTAGTTTAAACCAATAAATGTAACACCCAGTCTTAACGGATACCCATTATAGGTAGTTGTCAGCCTTACGGTTAAGAGGTTTGTATATGCCTTTTCAACCAGTGTGTGATCTCACAATCTATATGCCTTCGAGAGTCTAGTGTCCTTGCTGACACATCACCTGGTGTTTAGCTCTAATATCATTTATAACCTCTCAAACCGACCGTTAGCAAATATTGTTTGCTTTAACTCGTTACGTATAGTTGTCAGGCTAAATATTTTGAAACTTTAAATAATGTTTCATTGTGTCCGGTATAATTTTTAAAACTTTAAAATAAGCTTATAAACATTATTAACAAGTGGTTTATTTATTTTTTTTTATAAACATTATATAATTTTCACCGTAAGATTAAGGTAAAAAGTGCAAAAACCATTTGAATTTAATGAAATTAAAAATTTTCAATAAAAATGCATACACAATGCCGTTGGACTAAAGCTAAAAGTAGGAATACCAAATGACCAATGAAAATAAATGAAATTGATTTTAAAATTGAGCAACTAAAATAAACCAAACAAAAATAATATTTATTTATTTATCATCTTATTTGGGGAAAGGGGGAATTTCTCGCGATTTTCTCGACGTATATCTCGGGATATTGCTTTTCTTTTTATTTATTTATTTATTTATTTATTTATTATTTTGAAGCCACAATTTCTTTTTTCTTTCCCCCAAACGGTTTGAAAAGTTAAACAGCATCTGTTTGAGATGAGAGAATGCGAAGCGGAGAGATCTGACAGCTTCTTCTCGTCTTCTCTGAATTTCTTCTGATCGTTGAGGTCGACGGAGCAGTTCCCATGGCGGAATTCAACTGAAGAACCGAGCTAGATTTAAGGAATGCTTTAAGATCCGTGTCTCTTGTTACAGCATCTCTACTTTTCTCTTTTCTTCTCTCTCTCTCGTTACAATTTCCAAGACCGCACCATTATAGGCTGTTTTGTCCTCTGCACAGAGAGAGTGAGAGAGAGAGAGAGAGAGATTCGGATAAGCTTAACATGGGGAGGCCTCGCTCATGCTTTCAAATAATCACATGTGGTAGCGATTCAAAGGACAAAGATGAGATCGATGTACTTGAGGTAAGTATTTGTTTCGGTTTGATTTCATCGACTTTCCCCCTTTTCCTATTCGATGCATGAGTGTTGTTTCATTTGAGCTTGATTTGCATCTCATGCCGACTTGATTTTCTGGTTGTGAAGAACATTGAATTGTTTCAGTTTTGGCAATGCAATCGATTAGCTAGAAGATTGAATGGCATTGAATGGATCGGTTCTGGTTGTGTTTAATTTTGGACATGAGAATGAGTTGAAGTTATGCTTGTGCGTTGTTAATTCTTTGTAAAATGAGTTTTCTGATCT